AGGCTGCATAGCTATACATGATTAATATGGAAAGATCATTTCCTCAAATGGCTCCCTGAAGGGGCAGGTGGTCTCCTGGCATGAACTTGGGGCTGGGAGACAGGAGCCATGGGTTCTTGCTTTACTAGTAGCCAGATGTATGATCATGGACAAATCACTCATCTCCTTTGACGCCCAGTTCCTTTATCTGTAAAATGAGGAAGAGGGACTTAGATATCTCTAAGGTTCATTGCAACATGAATAGCCTAGGATTCTAAGAACTCCCTGGAATGTAGAATTGATGCTGGAAGGGACAAAACCACCATGATGAACCCAAAACACATTTGGAGCCAGTTAGGAAAGAACAGCTCCTGTCTGAATCCCAAACCCCTAATGTCTTTGTCCTTCTTTTCAAAGTGGGAACATTCTAGACACCAAAGGAGGACACCTCCATCCCAGGATTCTGAATTGCCAGGAAGCTGACTGCTTTCTATGAAGTGAAAATTCGAAATGGAAATGGGAAGTCCCAGCACTGTCCCGCCCTGGCTCTGTACAATGGATCCTAAATGTCTTGGTTGCCTGCTGGGGAGAAGAGGTGTTTCTCCCTTTTCCAAGCACAAGCAGTTGTCACAGGCCGAGTCAGGAGAATAAGGCCAACTGCCCCTGTGCTCTTCACACACAGCAGTTATCTAGTCGGCTGGGGGAGTCCTCAGGACTTCAGACTCCCAGGCTAGGTTTTCAGGATAGTCAGGTTACTTCTAAGCATCCTCCTACTTGGAAATCCATAAGGTCCTGGGTCCCCACTGGCCATTGAAACACTGGTGGTATGCCTTCTTGAGGAGCCTGACCCTGGTGGCTGATCAAACAACTACTATAGCCCGGAGCATTCTTGTACTTCATTGTGGAGTCTAAAGACTTCCCTTTCTCATGGAGGTACTCTCATCTCTACTATTAAGTCCAGTAGCCCCAGTCCAAGTTGAGAAAGAGGGGACACTTGACCCAAACCCTACAGGAGGATGGAAAAGCTGCCCCCTTTTGGTCCCTCACTCATCACCCTCCAGCAGGGAGCACCACTGTATTTCTCCCTCTCTCCCAGCCACTGCATATGCTATATCTCCTGCCTGAAATGCTCCTTCTTGGACCCATCTCTAGAGAGAAAGATGCCCTAGATCATGGTGGCTTCTAGTACCACGAATCTTCTTCAGGTTAGGCTAAAGCAGATTTCTGTACCCAACCTGCCACTAGGGCATTTCAGGGTTTAAATTTTTAAAATATTTATCAGCCATCTCCTATGTGCTTAGCCTCATAGGAACTTCTCCCAAAGTTCAGAGTTCAGATCCCTGAGCCTGGAAAGTGGCAGGGAGTTGGGGAGAAATGGTCTTTCTTACAACAAACAGCCATACAAGTTCAGGGACCCCGCTCCCAAGCCCAAAGCCCACCAATATCCTACAATGTGGACAGTAAAGCTCCCACACCATAAAATCATAGTAAGTTTGTGACAGAAGGTGTCTCATAAATTATCTAATCCAACATCATCTTACTATAGCTTAAAGGATTAAGGAAGTACAAAAAGGAATAAACAACTTGCCCAATGTCACACAGCTAATTTATGACCAAGCCAGGATTATAACTAGGGGTTGTTCTTCAAAATAATTTTCTAAATGACTTAAACATTATTTTCCAAATGAATTATAAATCATTCATCAGCATGTTCTAATAACGTCCAAATCATTTACTGATTTGTAGAAATGCTTTCCAGAAATTGTTGGGATGATTTTTTGACGCAGATGCTAATAGATAAATGATACTCCTGAGCCACGATTGTGACAGAGGTAACTACCTCAAACTTTTCTAGTGATTTCCTCCATCAAATTGACAGTCAGGAGGTCCCAACCTCTGGTGCACTATTGCAGCTGGAAGATGGCTAGTAGACCTGCATAGCCTCCACTGCAACCCCCTGTGACAATGCCACCTTCAACACTGCCATTACTGGAAATGCCACTAACACCACCTGCCCCACCTGCTTTGCTGCCACTGTCAAAGTCCCACTGCCATTGTGCCTTGACCTACTACCTATATCACACAAGCCTTACTCTGCAGCCTCCACGTGGTGACACCTGTAGGAGACTTATGATCTCAAATAGTAGAATTTCTCTAAACATCAACATTATTTACACTCTGTTGGCTTCTGCAGATTTTTCTGGATTGATATTTTTAAATATTCAGTATCTCTATTATCAATAAGTCACGCTAAGTCAGAAGGTTCATTGACCAATAGTCATGGTGAAATCTTCAAAGTGAGCTTAAATTAATGTTTGGTTTAGACTTTATATTATTAATTGGATTTAATGCTTAGCTCAGTTACTATTTGCCAAAGAATATTTATAGACAATAATCCACTAAAACATATTTCAATATTTTAACAATTGGCTGTATATAAGATTTGTTTATAATCCGGTTCTCCTGATTTAAGTCCAACATTCCATCTATTTGTACCACATGCCCAGCCCATGGGGAAAATATAACAGGCTTAGCAGTTAGTAGCAGAATTTACTCTGTTACTTTCAGTCTTTCAGTAGACGCCAATAAAGAACTTCTGAAAAGTTATCCTTAAATCAACATGCATTTATTATATACCTACTCTATGTTCATCAGTGTGCAAGCCATAAGACTCCATGAGCCCCAGCTTTGCGTCTAGACTCACTGATGACAACTCTCAGCTGCTTCTCTCCAGCTTACCTTGGTAAAATAGAAGAAATGGTAAAGAAAAAGATTATTCCTTCAATATACTGCAAATATTCTGTGTTCCTATAAAGATCTTTGCAATTCACAACTTTTATTTCTTTTTCTCAGGCAGAAAGAGCCAATAGAATAGCTAGCACCAGGAATAGGGGAAATAACGCTTCAAAGATAACTGTTTTCTGTCTTCAAACAGCCTTTTATCTGCTCCAGGGCTACCGCAGTGTTCTCTAACACAGACGGCTGGCTCTTCTGGCTTAGTCCTTTAAATGTCCTCGTGCCATACCAATCTCAATGAGTGCGCCTAGCACCAAAACATCCTACCATTCTGTGCACTCACAGAGACCCTTCCTTGGAGACCAAAGCAGGGAGAAGGACTCTGGGCTTGTTATATGTAGTAGAAGGCAACCAAACTCCAACCGAGAGAGAGGAATACAGACCAGAATAAGGAAAGAACAGTGTCCAAGTTTAGATCAGAGGTGCACCAACTAAGCTTGTTACAAGAAAGTAATAAGTCACTGGATATATTAAACCAATAAATCTGAGATTTTAAGGTGTTTTGACTATATTTTCTGTTAAGGTATAAAGAATATCCTATGGAAATGGAATTTTGGGGAGGGGAAGAAGGTGAGCATTTTCACAAATGTACCTTCATGCTACTATGAAGAGGGCTAAGTGAAAATGCCTTCAGGAATCCAAATACAAAATGGAGCCACTGGAACTCTCATACGCTACCATGGAATGGTCACTTAGGAAAATCGCTTTGGAAAACTGTTTGGTAGTATGTAGAAAAACAGAGCATATGTAACACAGAACCCAGCAATTCCACTTCTAGGTATGTATCCAAAAGAGTCGAGTATACACGTCTACCAAAAGACCTTTACAAGAAAGATTATGGGAGCTTTACTCAAAATGGGCCCAAATTGGAAAAGATCCAAATTCCTGTCCACAGTAGACAAGATAAACAAAATATTCAAACAAAGCAATATTACACAACAGTGAGAAAAAGTCATCAACTGCATGCAACAATATGGATGAATGAAAAGCCAGACACAACAGTGTATTTATGCATGATCGACTCCATTTATACAAAGTACAAAAACAGGCAAAACCAATCTATGTTGTTAGAAAGCGGAATAATCATTACCCTTGGGTGAGGGTGAAGAGAAGTGACTGGAAGGGAGCAAGAGAAGGGCTTATGAAGTGCTGGTAAAGTTCTGTTCCTTAATCTGGATACTGCTTAGATGGATGTGCTCAATTTGTAAAATTCATCAAATTGAGCACTTATGCTAGGTATACTTTCCTATATTTATATTTGTGGCAAAATGGAAAAATATGACTTTGATCATTCACCCTTCCCTGTCTTCAGACCTTTCCCATGTAATATTTTTGTACCCTCCCACTCTGACTTTGGGTTTGGCCACGTGACTTGCTTTGGCCAATGAGATCTCGACAAACATAACTCAAGCATTGGCTTGAAAAATGCTGCATGTTTCTGCTTCTGCTCTTGCTCCTGTGAAATTTCAATTAAAACATATCCATGCTAGTCGGCTGGAGCAGAACATAGCCAAGTTACCCCAGTCATCAGAACCAAGGCCATCCTAGATGAGCCAATAACCAGCTGACTCCCATATATACGCATGAACCTAGAGGAGACCAGTAGAATAACCCAACCAAGCCCAGACTAAATCACCAACTTTGCATGGGTTGTTAAACAGTATCACTGTGGTAATGGACAAGTGATAAAATTGTATACTTCAATTCAAAGTTAAAATATACATGTAATAAAAAAAATTGGGGGGAACAAAAAGATTCCTCTTAACACATCTATTTTCGAGCACGGTCACACCCTGTAGGAAAGAGAGACTGCCTCAGATCCCACAAGACCAGGGTCACCAAAGCATAACATGACATCCAAGTAAAATACAGGCCTAAGCCAGCCAAAAACAACTGGAAAACCAACCTGCAGAAGTTCTCCAAAGTATCTAAAAATTCTCTCTTTCTGTTTCCCAGAAGATGCAGAAGCAAATTGTTGCTTCTTCCACCTTCTATTTTTTAAAAATTCCCTTTTACTCCACCCTCCTCCATATCAGAAGCCCCCTAACAATACTCAATATGTCGTATAGAGAGAATATATTAGTTTCTGTTCCTACCATGGCCATGTTTCACTGTGGAAGTTAAAAAAGACCCTTTGGACCCCTTCTCAGGGCCTCTCCCAAGATAAGCTTTGATGGCTTGAGCATTCAGTCTTCTAGCATGTGGCTGAGCAATGGCTGTGTTACCTGGATTAACCTGAGCTTTTGCAGAACTCAAGATAGGCAGCAGCAGGAGCAGCACCAAGGGCATTCTGGGAATCAGGATCATCTCAGAAGATGGTGTTGGAACTGGAGTCTACAGCCCACCAAAAATGCAAGAAAACAAGAAAGAGAAGGAGAGGAAATGAGTGAGGCAGATACTATCAACATGAATGAACACAATTTGCACGATTATCTTTGTGTTCTGGCAGTGTTTATTTCTACACTTAGGACTTCAAATCATAGACTTTGAGGGTGGAATGGGACATTCAATAGTCACATAATGTAAGAATTTTCAAACTCTATTAGATCATACACTCATAGAATTAAAATTAGCAAAACTATAGGCAGGTAACAGTTTTACTAAGATAAATACTTACCCAAATTGTGAATAGCGATAAAGTAAAACTTACTCTTACGATGTTTTCATAATTGATTCCAATATTAAACCAAGAGAAACATTCAAAGACGTTAATGTGATGGCCTTTCAAATTTTCAATATTTATCTTGATTTATTAGTTCTGGAGTGATACCTATTTTTAAGTTTCCCCAGAATGATCCATGTGGTGAAGAGTTAAAGTTGAGACATCAGTATGAACTCTTGTTGAGCTTAATAGAGATACAGATGGTTACATATGGAAATATTTATAGATATGTGTTTATATATGGGTTAGTATGCATACAAACATCTCCTTGCTATATCAGCTGAGAGGGCCTAGAAGCAATGACACCCCACTACAATGAGCAAACCTAGCACTCAGATCTTGGTTTCTAATACCATTCTCCAATAAAAGGAACCAGGGTTCTTTGGAGATATGGCTGATTCCAGGACTAGGGCAGGAAATACACAAGATGAGCATGATGCATTTTTTAGTGCCAGAAACTGAGAAAGTATACACACAAAAAAATGATTCGGGTATGTCAAAAGGAGACACGAGCCAACTGAAAGAGTTCCCAATGGCCACAGCTGGAACAATTTGAGTAAGAAAACAAATAAAGTAGTATTGGATTATAACTCAAAGTATAAAATAAATATCTACAAGTCCATGTTGACATAAATAAATGATTGAATAAACAAATGGGGGAGAATAGACAAATTTCCCATGCAAAAGAATTCTAAATAATTTACGTAGATACTGTCTGCTCTTAAAGCACAGGAGGGAGCATAACCAACTTCCCTCCACTCCTTAAGTATGAGCTGCACATAGTGACTTTCTTCCAAAGAGTAGGGTATGCAATTGGACAAAGAAAAAGAGTAATTTTTCAGAGGAGGAACTTGACAAACACTACCTCAAACCAGGTGATCAAGGTTAACATCAACTTTGATAAGTCAATATTGATAGTATGTATCCTTGATATAATTTGATGAGAATGACACTTTCCCTCTGTGGTCTTCCTCTTCCAATCATGAGAAAAACATCAGACAAACCCCAATTGAGGGACATTCTACAAAATTCCTGATGAGTAATCCTCAAAACCGTCAAAGTCAGCAGAGACAAGGAAGTCTGAGAAACTGTCACCTAAGTGAGCCTAGGGAGAGATGATGACAAGGTGTAATATGACATCCTGGATGGGATCCTAGAACAGAAAAAGGACCTTAGGGGAAAACTGAGGAAACCTGAATAAAATATAGACACTAGTCAATAATAATGTATCAATATTGATTCATTAACTGTGACAAGTGTACTATACTAATGCAAGGTGCTCGGTTTCAGGGGAAACTGAGTGTGGGGTATACAGGAATTCTATCTACTATCTTTGCAATAATTATATAAATATAAAACTGTTTGAAAATAAAAAAATTATTAAATAAAAAGAAAGTTTTTTCCAGGTAACACTAATAATCAACCAAACATTGGATCCACTATTAGAAATAATATGTAATACAAAATTATAAAGAGAGAGAAATCCCTTTAAGCTGGGGTGATTGGAAAATGCTTCATGGAGAAATCAGCATCTGATCAAATTCTTGAAGGATGGGTAAGATTTTAACGGGCAATAACGAGGATGGAGTAAATAATAGGATGACATAGCTAAGACGCTTTTTTGAGGAAGCAGAAGCTGTCTAGGACGTTTTCTAGGCAGTAGAACTCTGACACACATGCACACCCGCCCCCACCAAGGTGGTAAAAAATATCAGATATTCAGATGGTTCTGTTTGAGAAAGAAGAAGCCAAAATTAATTAAATACAAAAGATTAAAGCAGCCCCCTGGTTGGGGGCAGGGGTGGGTGAGCCACAGACCAGAAAAGGGCGATGAGCATGGTTTCATGGCACTGATTTGGATGGGATAAAATACGTGTCTCAGTGTGCCTAGTCACTGCCAGCAGCAAGAACACAGTGTTTCCATAAATGAGTCCCCAAGCAAACATGCCCAGAAAAGGAAACACACAGGCAGATCTTGGAGACATTGATCTTGGCTGTAGTCTAGAACTAGCCCATGATCATGATCCAGGGCTGTCCTTCCACAAAGACCTGAGCTCCTTGTGAGCAGCCATTCAGCCTTGTGAGCAGGGCTGGGGCTAACCAGCCTCTCCCAGTAGCCTTTGATAGATGAGTCCTACAATTCCCTCTCTCCTGTGGCACCTTCCTCATGGGCTGTTGGCCATAACTTTCTCCCTTCCCCAGTGGTTCCTTCTACCAGGACTATCTCCTGCACCCTTCACGAAAACACACACTGAATTTGCCTCTCTTAGGTTCTCCATAAGATTGTCATTAAAGTATCCAGCTAATCATTAGCTTCAAAATGGCTCATTCGTTCTCTCCAAAGTAATATTTTATATCTTGTACAAAGTAGGTGCTCAAAGATGGTTTGAAACCGAGCTAAGTAGAACTTACTGGGAGCTCAAAAAATGTTAACTGAATTTCCTTTTGGAAGTTGTTAACTTGGTTTCAGGCGGCGAATCTCCAAAACCAGTGATTATTTCTGCTTTATTTGCTTAACAAACACAGAAGAGCCGTTAACAAGCCTAGAAGTACTATAACTATACCGTGAATATCTAACACATGCCAAGGACTATCTCAAGTAATATTCGCAGTAACCCAATGAGGTTTGTTTTCACCAATATGGTGACTGAGGAGGAAGAGGTCAAAACTGATCTGGTTACGCAGCTGAGAGGTGCCAAAACTCATGTGTGAACCCAGGGTTTGTGTTACTCCAAAATCCACACCGGTTTTTTCGTTGTTTGCTTTGTTTGTGTTTTCATCATACTACACTCTCCTTTGATCTGGCCTCTGCCTACCCCCCCTGAGCTACACTCCTGTTCCATCTTTCTCCTTCAGCCACATTGGGGCTTCTTTCTTTTCTTTCTTCCATTTTCTTCTGCCTCAGGACGTCTGCCAAAAAGTTTCATGTTCTCTTTGTCTAGCTCAAATCTCCATTCAAGGGTCACTTCCTCAGTGAAATATTCTCTGACTCTCAAGATTGTTACGTGCACTAAAAGCGTCTTACAATTTTTCTACAAAGAAATGATCGTAGTTTCTAATTATATATTCATTGCTGTATCATCTAATTAGCGTCTACTCCCCCATAAGCTCCGTGTTTATTTTACTCGCCATTCCATTCTCAACACCTACCAGAGCGCAGCATAAATATTTGCAGAATGAATTAATGATTGCCTTGAGCCACATATTCAGTGATTGCATCTGGCCCACTCTAAATTCCATACCCTAAAAGGAAGTATCCCCAAAGCTTATTATAAGCAGACATCACTCTTTTCTGCCCCTTTGAATGAGTCCTTCCAAGGGTGCAATATTTAAGCAATGTAACGTGAACAGAACCCATAAACACACATGAAAGAATTTCAAGGAGCTAGAAAGAGTCCTTCTCTATCCACTTCTTTGGTTAATAGTACAAATTCCTTTGACAGTTTATTCAAGCATTAAAAATAAAGCTCAAAATGCAAATACCCCTGGTCATGGCATATTCTTCCATTCATGCTTTTAGCAACTATTTTCTAAGTGTTGATTAGGTACTATTCTAGGTGTTAAAAAAAGGCAGAGAAGGAGCTTATAATATACAAGCAAATAAGTAACTAAATAAGAAATCTAAAGAAGTACATGTGCCGTGAAGAAAATAAAATGGAGTAATGTGATAGACAATAAGCGAGGCCTATTTTAGGTAAGGTGGTCAGAGAAGGCCTCTCTGAGTGTGGGATTGGCACAGAAATAGATAAACAGAACAATGAAGACGAAAGGTAACTCAGAAAAGACTCAAATATAAATGGGAACTTTATGATAAAAGGGGCATTTAAAATCAGTGAAACAGTTTATTTGTTCTCAAAAAGAAATAAAAGCATATCCGTACCTCATACAAAAAATAAAGAGCCCAAAATGTAAAAATAAAACCATAAAAGTATTTCAAGAAAATATAGGAGAATTTGCTATGAGCTAAAGATAAGGGAGGCCCAAATAAATAAGACATAGAAAACAGAATTTATAAATGGGAAGAATGATAAAGTTTTCCATCAAAATTCAAAATGTCTTTGAGACAAAAGACATCACAAACTTAACAGACAAGAAACAGGCTAAGATAAATATTTGAAATTTTATGACAAAATAGTTTCTGGTATAAATAATCTCTATAAATCATTATTTAAAAACTCCTGCAAAAATGGGCTAAGTAAATTAAAAGCACTTAACAGTGGAGACAATAAGATGCCAGTAACTTCTAAAAGTACTCAACCTCACTAGTGATCACAAAGACACACATTAAAGCCATCACTGAATACCAGTTTTATTCATCAGATTGGCAAAATTTTTGTGTGATAGTATGAAATTTGGCAATAATGTGGGGAAATGGATACTCCCATACTCTGCCACTGGGTGTATAAATTAGAAGATAATTTAAATTTAAAATGCATATACCCTATAATCCATATAGTTCACTTATTATTATTTACCCCCGAGAAAGACACATATCTGCACAATGAAGTATGTACAAAGTACTTTACAATGTTTTTTAAATTTTATTTCATGTGGTAAGAACACTTAACATAAGATCTACCACCTTAACAAATTTTTAAGTGTACAATACATTCTTGTTGACTGTAGGTACAATGTTGTACCTCAGATCTCTAGAATTTACTCATCTTGCTTA